TGGGACCTGGAACCTAGGCCCAGCCCAGGATCTGCCTCTATGGGGGCACTTCTTCCTGTCCCTTAGTGTTTGCCCTCCTGACCTGCTGTGGTACCCTCAGCCAGTGCCAGGTACCCTGAAAGGCCATGTCCTCAGCTCAGAAGTGCTAACCAGGAGGACAATGGCCTGGGAAAGCCCACAGGCTCCTTCCTGTGAAGCACCACTTCAGCTCTGGGGCTTTGGTCACAGCTTAAGGGGGAGCAGGTCAGAGGGCAGGCACCATACGTCTATATTGTATCCTGTGGTGGGCACATAGTAGGCACTCAGAACTGCTGTCAGCTCTTCTAGAAAGACTAGTGCATGCCCTGACACACTCAGGACAGATGAGTATGAGGTACATCTGACATAAGACTGGGGTCCACCAAGGCACAAGAACAAAGAAAACTTGACACAGCAGCCTAGCAGCATGAGTTGGGTGGTCAAGCCCACCTTTCCAGGTTGACATCCAACGTGGGCATAGAGTCTGATCACATCAGACATCTTTGCTGTAATGGCCATCTGTACCCATGACAGTGTGTCTGTCTCAAATGAGTCACGAAGCAGTTTAAAATGTCTTATTGGGATGAACTTAACTAGGGTACAATATGTACATATGGAAATGCCACAATGAAGCCCCCAGTATAATTATCATAATCCCCTGTATAACTATCATATACTAATAAAAAGTTTTAAAATAAAAATAAAATTGAATGCCCTATTCCTTTTTAACCACAAAAACTCAGTGTCCTGATTCTGACTGATTTAATGTCACTACCCTCTGGAGGAAAAAGAACCTAAAACATTCAGAAAAAAATCTCAGGCATTTGCATTTTTGATAAATAATTGAGATGCTGAAATCACTAAAATTAAATGCTATTAAATAAATGATGGAATAAACGGCATAGAAGCTGCATGTCCACCTAAGAAGATTCACTCATCTGTTTTGAAACAGCTGACCATTGTAACTGCTGACATACTATTTAAGATCATACTATGACTATTTCTATGTTTGTGCTCATGGGACCCGGGGGTGGCATTTCTCTAACACTGACTACATTCACTGCAGTCCAACTTCTACATATGTAGGTTCCAAATCCCTGGGTTCAATCAACCATGGATGGAAAACATCTTAAAAAACTGCATATTATAACTATTTACACAGGACCTATATTGTACTAAAGATTGTCAGTCATCTACAGGGGACTTCAAGTGTATGACAGGACATGTTCCACACAAGTACTATGGCAGTTTATATAAGGCACTTGAGCACCCACAAATTTAGGCGACCAAGGAGGGGTCTTGGAGCCACTCCCTCCTGGATACTAAGGGAAAACTACACTTTATTCCATCTGTGTGTGCGCTCTCACTGCACTGGTGAAGCCACAGAGTACAACCTGACATAAATGCAAGATCAAGATTCTGGCATACAAATATTAGCAAACAAACCAAGTCATTTGTTTTAATACTCATAATAAACAATAAGTTGGGTGCTGGTGGCTCCCAGCTGTAATCCTAGCTACTCAGAAGGCAGAGATCAGGAGGATCAAGGTTCAAAGCCAGCTTGGGCAAATAATCTGAGAATCTCTATCTCCAAAAAGCCCATCACAAAAGAGGGCTGGTGGAGTGGTTCAAGGTGTAGTAGACCCTGAGTTCAAGCCCCAGTACTGCAAAAAACCAAATCAAAACAATAAAACAAACAAGAAAACACAAGAAGCCCAAGTCTTAGCACAGGTAACTCCATGACTTCTCACATCACCCAGAACACCAGGGAGGAACCTTGAGCAAGCAGCAGAACTCCTGTCACTGGAGGCTGGAGGTGCCCCAGCGCCTTCCAAGGAGGGAGTCTACAGAGTCCTGGACAAGCTGTACTCTGGACAGTGGTGGTGGAGAGGTTGCTCAGTTAGGATGGTAACTGGAGAGGTCAGACCCGCTTGTGCCGCTCTGTCAAAGTCCCAGACAGGACCTCAGACATAGGGAAGGAACAGAGCCTGAAGGTTGAGGTCAAGGCCATGGTGGCATCCATAAGCCAGGCTAGAAGGAGCAAGGGGCTGTCAGCATGCTGATCTCTGAGTAGAAGCTGTCCCTCTTGGTCAGTTTCAGTGTCCCCAGTTGGAGGACCAGAGATGCTTACATGAAACTTGGCTTTTCTTGCCAGCCCCGAAGGCACCCCCAGACAGCTCCTGCTAAGAACTTGACTATACAGTGGTCACTAGCCTGGAGTGATGTCATCCTGACAGGATTTGCAGAGCCTGCCTGGGGGCTGCTATGCACTCTGGGATCCCCCGGAAGAGGAAATGAGGTGCCTGAGGAGTAAGATTTCTTCATTCTTCTGGGTAGAAGGACAACTTCTTTCTGCCTGCATGTCAGAAAGAAGTTCTGCATTACCTCTTAACCCACCCACTACTCTGTTCTGCTTTCAGCTTGGGGAGTTTGTGGTTCTTTGTCCCAGCATGCTAAGCTCTCTGAGAGCAGAGCCCTTCTGCCCAGGAGCTGGCCCAAAGTAGGGAGGGGCTTGGAGTTCCAGCTGAAGGCAGACAGGCTGGGGAGACGACGGCAGCAGCAGAGGAATTCCACAGCTGCTCACAGTGGTGGGGCTGAGAGCCTTTCTCTCCCTAAAACCACACCCCTGCAGAATTCTTCCTCTCATTCGTTTCACTGAGTCCTTCAGCCACCAGTTTTGGCAGACTGCCAAGCGCGCATCTGGCATCTTGCACGTTTGCAAAGGAGCCGGGCCAGAGCTGCATGGGGAACTGTGCCTTCTGTGAGCCTGCAGACAGGACACTGTGAACTGAATGCAGCTCAGCTGCTTCGCCCCAGTGCCTCATTCTGCTGGGGCCCCTGGAAGGTTCACTTTGGTGCTCAGTGTGCGGTCACGGGGTCTGGCTCAAGGGGCCACGGGGGCGTGTCAGTCCACATGTTGAAGTCTAAGAACTTCATACTTTTTTTTTTTTTTTTGCCACGTTGACTGAATTCTGCCAGTGAATGAAGCACCTTTATGGAGGCAGGATACATTGTGAACACTTCATCTATGTCATATTACTTCAGAACTCTCTGCTGGCCCCCTGCTCTTGATGTTACTTCCCTTGACTTTGTAGGAAAGGAAAAATAATATTGGACAAGAAAAATGGGACCCAAACACACTGGCTAGCAGCATCTCTGTCCCTGATCCCAGATGCAAACCCTCTGACAGATGGCCACAGGTTGCTGAGCCCTCGCTCCCAGCAGTACCCATGGACACACTTTCCATGAGATCACAAATTGGAAGTAAGCATTGATGAAGAACAGCCCCTCACCCAGGTTAAAACAGCAGCAATGCAGAACAATGTCTTTCTACAATAGTGCTAAGTGAGAAATATGCTCCCTGCTCTCACTCGACCCAATTGGCTTAAAGAATTTGGACAAAAACCAGAGCCCAGTGCAATGTTCTCATAGGGAACCCACTTAGATCCCAAGAAAAACACCAGCAGACAAAATTTCTGCATTTTCTTATTCTTACGAATTTGGACAACCCATGGGGGTGGAGAACTGTTTCCTTGCCAATCATGAAAAAGCCAGATAACACTTTTGTGGTCTTATTTTAGGATGGGAAACTTTGTAAACAACCTCAATGACAAATCCACAGACAGCTCCTCTGGTTCCTATTTGAAGCAGAAGGTCACCAGGGAGGTAGACATCCCAGATACACTTCAGGCATGTGACAATGTGCCGAAGTTGGACCAGTGTTGGCTCCCAGACAAGGACTGACCTCACCTTCTAAGTTTGAAAGCACTGTAATGCAGCCCACTGGGGAGGCGGGTAGGAGTGGGAGCAGCGCTTGGAAGCTGGTGAACATTTTAGAAAAAGTCTGTCTCCCAAGACTGTGACCACTGCCTGGCACAGGACAGATGGATTTACAGAGCATGAGATCTGCTGGCCTGCCACGTCTGAGAACAGCAACTGTGGGCAAGCCAGGAGTGAGGAGGGAGAGTGAACGGGTCTACAGGAAAGCAAAGAAATTTCTGGTATACACTTAATTGGAAAAAAAAAAAAAGTCAAGGGCACAGAAAGCTCATGAGTAATGTGGTTCTCAGTGCTGAACCCAGGTCCCACCTCCAGCTCTAACCCTGCTCTGCTGGCTTCGGTTTACTTCTGTAGACCAGAGATGATGACAACATTTGTACTTAACTCACAGGGTATAAGCACATTGATAAATAAACAATAAACAAACATGAAGCCAGTTAGAACAGTGCCTTGCACACAGAAATCATTCAATAAACATCAGATGCTGTTGTTGTCATTGTCATTGTTATAATAACCACCCCCGCCACCATCCTGCAAGCAGCATGATTGAGTCTCCTCCAGAGTCTGGAACCCATTCTGCTCCAAGTCCTGCCAACCAGAAGGAAGGAGATGCCAACCTATTTCTCTGCCAGTTTCTCTGATAAAGTTGACTGGCCATTTGACAGTTTTTCCTCATATGGGGGCAATGGCTGTGTAATAGCTACTTCAGAGTCCTATTTTAAAGGAGAAACTGTAAGTTCAAAAAGATGGCTAGCACCTTCTGGGTAAAGCAGACACTCTTTGCCTTGAGCAGGCCATATTCAAAATCAAGACCACAAGACAGAAACTCTTCAGTTATCCTATACAGAAATAAGCCCAATATTTTCACACCCAGAATCACTGGTTAGTGAGGATGACCTGATGGTGAAATTTCCTTCAGAGAACTGAAATTCATCTTGAAGCCCCAAATCATTGCATTTTTTTAAAACCATAGTTTTGATATTCTTTCTAAAACATACTGATAGATCCCTAACTTAGTAAAAGTGCAATTTTGGACCATAAATTTAAAAAGCCTTATAAGACAACAAAGAAAAGCAATAAGACAAGAATCCAAAGAAAAGATCACAGTCCCCCCTTCCCCCTTTCTCTGCAAAGTACCAAGCCAGCACTTCCGTGCAGACCCCACAGCCAATAGCTAGAGTTGCAGTCAGCAGCACACTCACCTGCTTTGGGGCAGCCTGGCTCGGAGGGAAGGAGCCTGGTGTCAGCACAGGGGGGCTCCCAGGGCCACAGAGCTCGGGGAACGGGTTGGGGATGGCTGGCAGGGACGAGGTCCTAAACTGCTGGTCTTCCTCCTGAAGGCGCCTGCGGGGAAGCAGCCAAGTGCTGGTTAGACTGTGATTCCTCACATGACCCAGCAATGCTACCTCTCAGCCTGTGCCCCAAAGAACTGAAAACTGGGTGTGCTTAAGTATCAGTGCACCCATGGTCATAGAAGTATTATTCACAATAGCCCAAAGACGGAAGTGACCCAAATATCCATCCATGGCGCGGGTGGAAAAGCAAAATATGATTTGGTCACACGAAGGAATATTATTCAGCATTTAAAAGGATATTCTAAAGGAAAAAAAAAAGGAAATGCTACAACATGGATGAACCTTAAGGATATTATGCTGAGTGTAACAAAACGACACATACTGGTTGATGCCACTTATCTGGGGTGTTCATAGAAAGTAGAAGGGTACTTGCCAGGGGATACAGGGAAGGGACACTGAGGTGCTGATATTTAATGGGCAAAGTTTCTGGAGACTGGACAGCAATTCTGAGTGTACATCCACACTACTGACCCGTACACCTCGAAGTGGCTAATGTGGCGAAGTTTATGTTATGCACATTTGACTATGACTAAAAAGAAACAAAATTAAAAGTTGCCAAAGAATATCAATTTCCCTCCTGGCAGAATGCCTGAGGGACAGTGTGCATTTCCATCTCAAGCAGATTCTTAGGCATTTCTTCAATGAATACCTTGTGTGTGAAAAGCTTTTGTGAATCAGGTATTTTCATGACAACAGGGGTTTTTCAATGTCCTGGAAATGAACATTCACTCACCCAAGTGAAAATAGTACAAGAGGTTTCATGTGTCCTCATGTGAACTGTGGAGTGCATGCTTTTTTTTTTTTTTTTAATACAGACAGGCAGCTGCTACTGAATTAATTAGAAATAAAAACTTCATGTTTTTATCCTTCCGGGAACCAATGCTCCGAAATACCCTGCTGACTCAGCAGCACCTCTATGCTCTGTGGCACTCCATCAGGGCCACCACCATCCTCTTCTGAAAAATGCAAAGCTCACTTGTCATACAATTGAGTAAAATATGTATAGGATGATGAACTGGATACAACTATGGTAATAGCAAAAAAATGAAGTTCAAAGTCAAAGCAGAAATGATGAAAAAATGCCCTGTGCTTTTCCTTCCTAGAGTCCTGCCAGCAACTTCCTGTTCACAACTCAGGACTTCCCTGGGAACACATCTCCTCCTTCATCCATCCGTTCACTCCTCCATCGTGAGGCTGGCATGCCCACGGCACTGTCCTCCTTTCTAGAAGGCAGCAAACCTGGGGCTGTATTTTGTTCCCTCTTTGCTCAGCATTCCGGATCCTTCTCTTCATTTAAATAAATATACCCTCAGAAAGCCTTTTGACTGTATTTACAATCTGATCAATGATCCCTTTCTGGGAGGGTTGCTGTTAGAGAAATTTACTCTGACCATTTTACTTTCTCTCTTTACCAACTTGCTCTGATTTTAAAAGAAGACCTATCTAGCCATTCTGTGTGCACCAGGAAATGAAGCACTGGTTTAAAAATACCTGAACTCACATGACATGAAGGGGATCTGTTGTGAAATATAGGAAACCTATTCCTATAATGGCTTGGTAACATGCCAGAAAGTTTATTTTTACTGTTAACAAATCCCACTCTTCCCTAGTAGTTTCAGCCTGGGCAGGGCATCCAACTGAACAGCCTGAACACTGCCATATGGAACAGAAACAGAAAAGCCACACAATCACCACCATTCCTGATTCTCCAGCCCACAGTCTCAACCAAGGACTTACCCTAAAGGAACGAGTTTCATCTTTGACCTGCAGACAAAGATACGGAAATTCTGATGTTCTAGTTGTTCGCAAAAGCTTCCTTCATTAGGTTGTTTTGAACATTTCTAACTGATTTTCATTTTTAAATTGTAATTTCATTAACTTAAAAAATTATGTTATAGCTGTTCAGGTATTTGTCTATCACATAACAAAGGGACATTTTACAAAGATAAAAAAATCACTGTTAAAGAAGTCCATAAATGGGGAAAGGGTGGGGGAGGGGAGCATAGGGGAGAAATGACCCAAACAATGTATGCACATGTGAATAAATGAATAATAAAAAATAATTAAATAATTAAAGAATATGTCCCCTATAATCACAAAAAGAAAACTACTATGGTGAGGGGACTGAGATTCAGGGATGTCAGGGACAGTGACAAAAATGTCACTGCCTGGGAGGTGAAAGTGGCTCTGTTCCCCATGCCTTCACCTGCCTCATCTGTCTGTCCAGTTGAGAACAAGCCCATGACCCCTCCGCTCTGACCTGAACCCCTCCTCCTTCACAAATGGGCTCAACTGTCAGATGATCTGAGTAGGCTGTGTCTTCTCCAGGCTCCTTCTCTGTCCCTGCCTCCACCCAGCTTGGCCAAGTGTGGTAGCCACCAAGAGCCCCTCTGTAGTGTGGCTGGTGTTCTATGGACCCAGCACCCAGCACCCAGCACCCAGCATGATGCTCGAGGCCTTTCCTGTTCAAGCTGCAGAGCCTCTCCACCAGGTACATGGCTGGCTTCCCCACCTTCCAGATGTGGGCCTAGCTGCAACTCACTGTGCCTCAGTTTCTCTACCTAGAGAACAATTCTCATGGCCTCTCTGGTGATCATGATACCAGTTAAAAATGAGGAGCATCATAGAGCCCTGCAGTCAGATTACTTCACTTGATAAAATAAATCTAGGGAGATTCTCTGTTGGCCTCACCTGTTTTTTGTTTTAAAGCTACTTGTGGCAAGAGACAATACAACTTATCTAGAGAACAACAGTAAAAGGAATCAGACCAAGGTACAGTGTCTGTCACCCTGTAGGGAGGTTTGTCCTGCCCTACAGAGCAAAGGGTCCCAATCCATCTCATGGGACAGGCAGCCCCAAGACACAGAAAGGCCATGTTCATCTAGAATCTGAGGCTTAAGCACCTGAGCAACCAACTCTAGCAAGGAGCCAGGCTCTCTAACACCATCATCCTCCACCATCCTGAGCACCTTCCCCAGGGAACTACAACAAGACTTTTGCCTTCTTGGTCACCCCTGAGGCAGCCGTGGATGGGTGACCAGCAGACACCTGGACCCTGACAAGCTCATGGGACAAAAGTCTTCCTTCCAGGCTTACCAGGAGCTATGAACAGGGTGATATTCTAGAGAACAAAGTCAGATAAAATTCTGGGAGAGAAAGACAGAGAGAGAGAGAGAAAGAGAGATAACTAACTCATGAATGTGACAAAATACAGGAAGCCTGACAAGCAGCTGAGAAGGGGACCCAAGGCACCCTTGTAGCTCTCGGCAAAGGGGCGAGATGGTTACTGGCACTGCATAAGACCCAAGATGTCAGACCAGGAAGAAACTTCTAGAAGTCTCTGGAAGTAAGGAGGAATGGAGCTCCCCAGAACAGGTGGTGCTGAGAAAGTTACAGCCACAAGAACCCCAGCGGGACAGAAGTCAGGAGGGCAGCAATTCCAGGCAAAAGCCCCTGCACATCCTCTGTGAATGCCCAGAGAGGCAGGGCAGGCTCATGTTGCCTCCCTGCCATCTTCACTTGGCCATACCTGCCCAAAACCCACCAGAGTCCATGGGGATGGGACTGTGCTGAGAGTGGCGCTCAAAAGCTACTCTTCTGCAACTTGGTTCCATGATCCCCATGGAAGTGTCTAAAGCATTCTCAACATCTTCCCCTGGCTGTGCCTTCCTCCCAGGTGCTCAAGATAATCAGAGCCCCCACCCCACCCCATCTCTGCCCTTCTCCTTCAGAGTCAACTGCTCATGACATCGGGCTGCTTGCCCTCAGCAGTGTTCTCAACCCCACCCTCCTTAATGTCAGAACTCCATCACCCCTAGGCTGGTGGGCACCTCACACAGCTCTCAAACAAACACTCCATCAGCTTCACTGTTCTCTGCCCTCCTGCTCAGAAGCCCAGGCAGCCATGACTGTCCTCCCTCAACAAGCCCTTCCCTACACTGCCCTTGAGAGCCCACCTCACCTCCATCATCATCACCTCTACATGCCTAACATCTTCCTTTGTTATCAGCCATGCCTCAGCTTGGAAATCTGTCACCTCCAGGGAATCTCCTTCAAGGTCCCCAGGACCTTCTCTTCAGTCTCTCTGCTTCAGAGATGTGTCTCCATTTTCAATCATCCAGGGATTGGGTTAAAACACACATCTGGGTAGGGTTGCTGATAAACCCCACAGCCTAGTCTGGGTAGTGGGGACTCAGGGAACTCAGGTGCCAGCATGGCCGTTCTTTTATTCTTTCCCAAGTGTTTTCTATGTGATAGTTTTTCCATATGTAGATTCTTTACTCTCTTGGTGCCTCGTATGTAGCAAGTACTCAATAAAAGGTGCAGATGCTGAAGCAAGTACCAAGTGCTGCCATGTTGGACAGCATAACCCACATGCTCAGCATACAGGAGTCCCCTGTGATCTGTACTTCCAGTCACCTGGGGCCAACCAGCATAGACAAGGCTCAAAGGTCCTCCTGTTGACGTACCTTCAGATGGGCGACAGCAGTCCAACACTGTGTCTCAAAGCCTGTGTCATCCACTTCTCTCATCATCATGGTGTGGTGCCACCTCACACCATTACAACAAGAAAGGTGAGTATAGTACAAGCGGGTATTTTGAAAGAGATCACACTCATATCACTTATTATACTATATTGTTGTAACTATTCTATTTTACTATTAGTATTACTTGACTTTAGTTCTTAGTTGTATGAACTCAACTATATCATCATCATGCATGTATAAGAAAAACCATAGCCCCTACAGGGCTCAGTTCTATGTTCAGTTTCAGGCATCCACAGAGGGCGGGGGTTTGGGGGAGGGAGTCATGAGACATATCCCCTAAAGGTAAGGGGACAACTGCATCTGTTATTCAGCTAAAAGGAACTTGTCTGCCTCCTGTCTTTACAGTCATCACCCATCACCATTTAATGAGCACAGAGCAGTACTGGGGAGTGGCTCAAGTGGTAGAGCACCCGACTAGCAAATACAAGGCTCTTGAGTTAAAGCACCAATACCACAAAAAAAAAAAAAAAGAAGAAGAAGAAGAAGAAAAAGAGTAGAGAGCTGTGTGTCATCTTAGCAGATAGTCCTGGCTCTTGGACCTACCTGACAGCAAGGATGTGCACAGGCTGGGAGCGTTGCACACGCTGCCTAGGAGACACTTGAGGTTGCAGGGGCCGTGGGCCAGAGGCCGTAGGCTGGCTGCGGGGGTGCTGGGGGTGCTGGGGGTGCTGGCCGTTCTGCAGGAGGGGCACCGTGTCTGACTGCATGTTGCAGGCTGAGTAAAGGCTCTCCAAGGATGCGTTCATGTCATTCACCAGCGTTTCCAGGTCCACGTCATCCTCTGGAAACAGAAAGAACATTAGCAGTGGTGAGGGTACTGCCCAAACGTGTACCTTTGGTGATCAGATCTCCAAACGCAACAATACAGTTTTTAAATATTATGTAAGGTGAAGAGAAGTATAGTTGAGAGAAATATAAATGTCTTCAAGGAATCAAACGTGTTGTATTTATTACAAATTCTTGACATCCCAGAGGCCATTCAGTAGTCAACATCCAAATGCACCTCCATGAGTCTCTATAGGAGATACGTTTGGAGCATCAGTTCATCTCACAGATCCTCCTCCCGTGTCTCTTCCCCTCCTCTGCACTGCCTCTGGGGTGGACACACATCTTAGCTGCACACAGTGGCCTCACTGTCCTGGGCTCTGCTGGCTAGGACCCAGGTGAACACTGAGACCTATCAGGCCAATTACACTCTCCCTTCCTTGGGATTCTGGAAGTGTGACAGAGACAAGAGCACAGCACTATCTAACCCTAACACCAGCCTTGGTCCAGTAAGATCGAACAGTGGCAAAGCAGTGACATAGTGAGTTGCTATGGTAAAGGCCAAACCCATACACTTGCAGGCTCTTCCCTTGCCCTCGAGTGGCCTGAGAGCCCAGGAAAGCCCACCTTTACAGCAGAAGGCACAAGATAGAAGCACAGAGAGAAGCAATGTGGCATAGAAGGCAAGTCAGAGAGGAAAGGAAGTGAGAAGAAAAGGATAAATGAGCACAAAAAGGGACTGTAAATGTTTAATTTTATGTGATCAACTGGTGGGCCATGGCACTCAGTTTTTAGTTAAATAACTGACTAAACGTTGCTGATTTCACTTTGATGAGATTAATATTTAAATCAGTTGACTGTGAGTTTGCAGACTGCCCTCACTTTCTGTGAGTGGGCATCGCTCTATCAGGAGAACACTCAAGGTCAGCAGGCAGAGCTCTTGCTCATAGTTGGGGTGGGGAACAAGTGAAGAAGAGCTGGTTGGCAGTAAAAACAAGACCCCACAGCGGGGCTAGGAAGTGCACAGCTGTAGTTTCCACTGTTCTGTGGTGGCTATGTCTCTTAGAGAAATCCTCACCTGTAACACTGTTGAAGGAATACTTGGCAAAGGTACAAATGCAGACAAATGCTGTCCAGACAGCTGACTGCTAATACAAGGACTTCAGTGAAGAAAAGCTCTAAGTTATAGTAGCGTCCACAAATTGGAGAGCTTTGGGCAGGTTCTAGAATGCAGGCATCAAGGATGCCACTCATCTGTACTCACATTTAGCTGACATGCTAATAGTGCCATAATCCAAGCTCCACGAAACAATCAAACATACATGCCATTCCTAACTCTCCAGTTAACAGCTCAATATTTCTACCTTAATGGACCATTTAAGAATCAATACTGGGTGAAATGCAAAGTTTACTGTAATAATCAAGTCAATCCCAGCCCCCACACACTGGCTGAGGGGATGCTTCTTAAGTGTTGAAAAAGCCTGGCAGATACAAAGGCCCTTTTCCATCACTCATCTTGCTACAGAAATCACATGGCAATACAGTTCTTGCTCTCAGACAGGCCTCTTATTTCCTGAGAAAATAAAATGTCTTGATTCCCCCTGGTGGGTTTTCATTTACAGTTATTTTTCCCTGGGAGCCCTCGACTGTGCCAACCTCTGGTGGCAGCTCCTGATGTCTCTGGTCTTTTTATTCCTGTTTCTTTTCTCAGGCAACCAGGTGATTCCTGGATCAGCCCTTTGCAGTTAGGTCAGACACAAAGCAATTCTGACATTACTCAAAGTGAACATAAGGTAAGTGGATGCTAAGAGAGGAAGGTAGCACACATCCTCAGAATGCTTTTGTTCTCCTCTGAGGTAGATGACTTAAACAATTCCTTTCTACAGGAATACATTGCATAGGATTTACAAAGCCGGGTTAATCTCATAATGTTCACTTAATAGGTTCTATTTTTTCACTAATCAAATCCAACCACTATAACTAGATGCTTCATCCTTCAAACATTCCAGAAAAAAAAAAAAAAACCCAAGCTCTAATTTAAAGATTCTAAAATGCCCTTATCAAGAGTCAACTTAAAAATGTTAAAATGTCCTGTGGGAACAATTAGCATTTTATCTATTTAGATAATAAAATCACTGTGGTTTTTCTGATTTTATTTAAACTTCTTTAATTAAATCATCTGAACAGTAGTTTTAAACAACTGATTTTAAAGAAGGTACTTCATATTCTACATCAATTTTTTTTAAAACACTAGACTAGAATATTACTGAAATCACAATCAGTTCTGGCAAAACACTCCAAAAACTGATATTCTGTCAGCTAGTTTTTCTCAGCAAGGACCCCATATGTCTGTCCCTTCTACACATGTGACAGCTGCTAAATTCTCTTCTGGTCCATGAATCTGAGTGGATCAATAATCACCCATTTGTGAAAGGCTTTTTCTGCCAAGCAACAGAAGTAGAATCAAACAAGGGATGCTTCTGGAAGTGACTGTTTAGATGGTCTAGTCAATGATGTAAAATACTCTCCAGGAGGTGCCCTGCTAGAAGGAATACCAAAAGAGAAAAGGATTTATAACAATGTATTTACTGCCCAAATACAGGTCAAAAAAACATGGCTGTCAATCAAGCTATTAATAGTTATTTTCCTTCCTTAAATAGTCCAGTCCAAAACTGGGCATGGACTTTGCCCCAAATATTTGAGTAGCTCATCTGATTTCAAATTCACATCCCTTCTAGTTTCACTGTCATTAACATACTAAGGCTAGATTCGTTCGGAAGTAAATTCTATGAAACAAATTCTCATCTGGTTCATAGACCATTAAAAATGAATGTCTCCCATAAAGCAAGAGAGGTGTGCTGAGCAGGAAAAGGAAATGGGGTTAGCAGAGGCTTTAGCTTCCAGCCCCTCCTTACCGGTCTAACAAAGAATACACTTCTTAGTTTACAGCACCATCTAGTGTCTTCCTTACGTTAATTAGAGATTAAAGATGACACTGGATTCACTTTGCTAAATTATTTTGGCACCTTGAAGACATGTTGTTTGCACTACATGCTTAGGATGCATCTATGCCAGTGCTTACCACGCATGCTCAAGCCAGTACCTGCAGCTGATTGGGTCCCTGTGAAGAAAGAAATACATGCACCTGACAGGTGTCTGGCACAGGTACAAAAGCCAAAGTTCATACACATGTCTATCTAGAAAAGAACCAAAGGCCAATGCCAGGCTACGAAAGTGTTCAAACCTAAACCCTATTCCCTTGGCAAGCTATTTCTGTTGACTTCTAACCAACTACAGTTTTGTACAAATATAACTTCACATGCTACTGAAGTATCTCTTTGCATACCAACTCGCCCTTATTCTCTTGTATTCTAGTCACACACATTTGGTTTCCTGTATGTAGAGTTTGGACATAAGTGAGAAGAAGCTAATCAAGTACTAAACTATGAGGGCTTTCTGCCTCGTTGATATTTAAATAACTGCAGATCATAACTCCGAACAAAAACTACAAACATAACTCCCAAACCATGTCACTATTTTAAAAAAGAAATAGGATCAGCCCAGTGCCAGTGGCTCACGCCTATGATCCTAGCTACTCAGGAAGCAGAGATCAGGAGGATCGAGGTTCGAAGCCAGCCTGGGCAAATACTTAGAGAGACTCTATCTCGAAAACACCCATTACAAAAAAGGACTGGAGGAGTGGCTCAAGGTGTAGGCCCTGAGTTCAAGCCCCAAAATTGCAAAAAAAAAAAAGGAAAGAAAGAAAAGAAAAGAAGTGGAATCAATACTTCAGTTCCCACAGGGAAGCAGGAAGTGAAAACTCCAGTTTGTCTAGCCATTATGTGCATATTCGTGGTCTCTCGTGTAGCACAAGAATGGAATATCCGTAATGCCTGCATTTTCAGTGTTATAAGCAAAATTTATTTCCTCAACATCTGTTGGGAACCATACTCTCCTCTCTATCCAATTCATACAGACAGTAGTAAACTGCCATTTTCAGTCTCCAATGATTTTGAGAAAATGTGTATCAACAAACTGATGAATTCAAGAACCTTTAGGAATCTGTGGGGGTCTTTTTCCATTATGATCACATACATTTGCAGAGTTCATGCCTGCACCTTTAGGGCTCTTGCTGGGGATCCCTGTGGAGTGCCCATGTGGGTACTCTAGTCACCCCCCTATTCCTAGGACTCACAGGCTACCTGGGGAGAATTATCCAAAGCATACACCAATGCCAAATGATGAGTTCGTGATATGAAACTGGACAAAGATAAAAATATACCTTGGGTATATTTTGGAGTCAGAAAAAGCTAAAACCCATAACGATCCTCTCAATTTCCAGAGGCCACACCAACCTGTTCCTTGCTTTAACTTGTATCTTAACTATTTTTCTTGGAATGCCTTTCCTTTATTAATGTAAATGCAAGACTATCATTCAGGAAGGCTGCATGCATATTTAGTTCCACATCCAGGTCATTGGAACCTGGGCATTTTCTTCTGTAATGTTGGGGCTTTACCCAGACCCTCCTCCAAGAACATCTAACAACAAGTTACACATTCAGGATTCTACTCAATAGTTCTGTAGATATGACAAAAGATACAGTGATATCCATCTGTAATCCTAGCACTCAGAAGGCTAAGGCAGGAAGATCTTGAGTTTGACGCTAGCCTGTGCTATTATATAGTGAGACCCTGCTGCAAAAACAGCAACAATAAAATTATAGCTTGCGTGAACTGTATAGACTATTCCCCTTAAAGCTACATTGAGATAAGCATTTACATTCTTTTGAAATAAAGTACAACCCTTATAATTATTTGACTGTTCATACCTGCTACTTTGATCCAGAGCAATCGAAAACTGACTTAGATCCAAACCCTGTATACACCTGGGACACTGGAGGAGCAAAGTGTGGTCAGGTCCATGGCTGTCAGACCATGCGGGGTCCTTTCCTAGAGAAGCCTCAGCCCCTCTCCACCAAAGACCACAGAACACAGGAGAGCGGGCTGCTCCCTGCT